ATGTCGACAAGCTGCAGGGTGAATTGGCCGACCTCCGTCATTCGATGGAGCTCCAGGCAGCGCGGTCAGACAGCATGGAGAAGGAGCTCAGGTCTTCGGCGGCAGAGGCGATCGCTCAAGCGAGCAAGCTGGAGATGGAATTGGCGCTCGCCAAAGAGGATTCGATGGCGGTGGCGACGTCTGCTTTGGATGAAGCGAAGAAGGTGGGGAAGGAGGTGGCAACGGTGAGAGAGGAAACCTCGCTGGTGGCAAAGTCTCTGGACGCATTCCGAGAGAAGGTCGACTCCGCCATGGTCTTCACCGCCTTTCGCCCAGATAGCCACAATGTGTAGTCATTAGAGTATTGATATACATGCTTTTTAACCTAGCATGGAATCTCCATGCACTCGATTCGCCACTGCCACTCCAAGTCAACTGAATGCCTGCTGAAGTTCTCGCCAACTCCCCTCGCCATTGCCACCATCTCCATGGCTTTACCTATGTAGATCTATGGGTCACATTAAACAATGTGGAAGCCTACGAGTCTACTTTGAACTGGAGTTATATTGTCAAGGTCTGGTGCCGCCACTGCGGGTCTTGCGACCTGCGCCAACTTGGCCACTCTCTTTCACTTTGGCGGCTGCTTTCCCCAGATGGACCGGCTTCAGCTTGGTTTCTCCCTTGTCCTTGACCTCTGGGGTCTGAGGCAGAGCTCGTCTTCACTTTGCGGGAGGCTTGTCACCATCATCCGAGTCCTCGGCCCTCGCATTCTTCTTCCTCGGCGAGGCCACTACCAACTTGTCCCGAGTACCATGTCCACGCTTCCGAGGTGGCGGATTGTCTTCGCCAGAGCTGTCTTCGCCATCGGGCTCGGGACGTGCTGGTTGACGTTTCCGCTTTGGATCAGGAAGCTTCTTCAAATCTTTCACAGCTCCTAGTGGATGCTGACTGCGGGTATTCTTGGCGGGCGACTCATCCATCGCTTGACGCTGACTGCGAGTGATCCTGCCGGGGATATTACTCTGAAGGGCATCAGTGATCGACCTTCCCTGGAGCACTTTGGCTTGACCTGACGGTCGGTCCTCCGTGGCTGCGGCCTTCCTCGTCTTAGGTATAAACGGAGGTGGTGGCGGTCGTTCAGCACCACTGCTAGGTACGGACAAGTGTGCATCGTCCTCTTCGCCATCGTCAGAGGCCCCACCACTGGTCTCCTGGCTCGGCCCTTCATCTCCTCCACTTGGAATGATTGGTTTGTCAGCCATGGGGGCAGGCTGGTGAGCCTTGTGAACTTTGGCAGCAGTAGCAGCGCCATCGTGAGTTCTTGCAGAGGCATCACCTTCCTGCTCCTCCTGGCCCCCAAGGCCATCGCCACCTTGTGGGGCACTGCGTATGGCAGGCTTGCTCACTGGCTTCACCATGGCATGGGTGACGTTCCCTTCCACCATGTCCAAGGTAATGATCTCGCAACAGCGAAGCAGCTGCTCTACTGCGTCAAATGAGATCGCCGAGTTCACCACATAGTCGGGAAGGTTGGTCGGTTCGCCCTCCTCAATGAACTGAGATCGTGTGAGGTCCCTCAGTGCCATACCAATCATGAGTGCAGATTGTTGTACGCCCTGTGGATGTAAGAACCGATATTTTGTCAGCCATGGTTTGTCGCCCAACCAGTTCTCGACGATGTCAAAGTTGTCCACCGCATGAAATGACGGCGGGAGGTAGCGCTGGCCATACGACCATTCGCTCCAGGGAATCGGATCATACCTGGCGAAACGATACACCTGGGGCTATATGACGGATGATCAATAGTGGCTATGAATCCCCACGAAAGGAGCTCACCACAGTCGCAATCTTGACTTCCTTCAGCATATCCTGGTATCGCGGTTCGACGGAAAGGGTGGCGAGAAACACGTCTCTCCTTTTCACGAGGTGGGGCACAGTACTCCCCACAGTACTCCCGCCAGTGAGACGTGGGGCTCGGCCTTGAAGCTCAAGCCTGAGCTCCTTTGTACTGGGCTCCAGTTCACTCCATGCTTCATCGGTCTCCTCTGTGTCAAATCTGTGCAGTTCGCCCAGAGGAAGGTCTTGGAGACCTCGCTTTGCCTTCGTCTTGGCACCGCCGCTACCACTCGCTTGAGGTGCACCGCCATTGTTAGCCTTACGTCCATTGGTGGTGGCGACTGCCTTGCCCTTCGCTTTATTCGCAATCACGCTCTCGCCATCCCCTGAATCTTCATCGCTGGCCGTATCTTCTTCGGAAGCCATGCTGGGTATATCTAGCGAACTCCGATCAGAGTCTTGGCTGCTTCTGGCATCATCTTCCGAGTCGTATGCATCTTTCGTCTTGCGTTTACGCCCACCGCCTTTGGCTCCGCCAGGGGCCGCTTTGCCCTTTGTCGCCTTCGATGCCGCCTTTCCCGTGACCTTGCGCACAGGTTTACCCTTCTTCTTCACCTTCCCCGCCTTCTTCGGTGTGAGTGCTTCTTGGACCTCATGTTCAGATCCTTCTTCTAATGCCTGTGCTGATCCGTCAAGTGGTGGAAGAGGATCATACTTGGCGGGAGCAGCTTCGCCATCCTTGTTGAAGTACTGGGTGAATCGCATGGTCTGCTCAGGTCCATGTTCCTCTTGGCGTGCCCGCCAGTGGTCGAGGAGGGCACGAATGGGAACACTTGTCATCTTTGAGGGATCGATCCACTGGAAGTTCTCAGGTAGCATCTCCGCTGGAATAACCTCATTGATGTCGTCTATGCTGTTCAGCTTCGTCCATGGCGACTTGCAGTTCCGAACACCCTTCGCCAATGCTGTAAACTGGTCAGCATCTCTCAACACCCAGTGGGAGTGTCATACCATAGTGATGATTCATGAAGTCTCGAACTTGTACCTTCATCACCTTGAGAGGTGCTTCCGCCATACCTTCGGGCACCGACGGGAGCAGAGGAAAACTGTTGGCCATCAACTGAATCTTGTCCATGGCCCGCATGCAATCGGCAGGTGTCTTCTTCACCGTCACCGTAGTCTCAGTCACACCTAAGGAATCAGGTCAGTGTGCCAGCGACAATGCAACTGAGGTCTTCTTACAGTATTCGCCTTTGGCCCACTCAGAGAACACCTTTGCTAGAGGCTGGTAAGCACGCAGCCACCCAGGATAGGCCCCGAATGGAGTTCCATTGGTGATGGCGTGGTTGACCTCCACCCTTCACTCGGGGGTTAGCAGATGGCGACAGTCGGACGGTCTACGCTCACATCTCTACCTTCAGACTCCCCGCTTCCTTCGGATATGCTAGCATGAATGCCATGCGAATGCCCATGGTGTCCCACATAGTCTTGGCGAACTTCTTCAGATATTGCATTATTCGCTGCTCCCTCAGCCTGTCTTAGGTCAGGATTTGCCTTATGCTACGTGACAGGAGGTACGCACTTCATTTTCGTCTTATCATCCAGAGTGCCATTGCGCCAACTTTCCGCCTTTTCCTCATACACCTTCTGCTCCTCCTCGGACAGTTTTGCCCATTCGGCACTCCGTGCGACTCTCCACACCTTGGAGACATTGCAACCCTTATCTGCGGCGAGTGCTCGCGCGGCCTCAGTCACCTTGTCCCTCTCCAGCGCATCCCACACCTTGAAGGCATTGGGCTTGCCAGAAACATGCATACGCTTTTTCGTCGCTTTCTCCTGCGCATGGCGGGCGTGGTTATTGAGCCACTCTCGGATTTTCTGCGGTGAGAGTTAGTGGGGACCTCACAGACATGAAACACTGCTCACAGTTTCCACAATGATGTCATCATAATTTGACGTGTCGACAAACTGTGTCTTCAGCTTCTGGCGCAAGCTCTGAACCAGAGTCTTGCGTCCCTTGGCATCTGCCATGTCATAAGACCGCAGCTTCTCAGAGAGTATGGGCTGATGCTCCGTCAAAATTACAAATCTCGCCGGCATGCTTTCTCGATGTCGAGGATGAGATTTTTGTGTTGGGGCAGTGAAGGGGGTCGATAGTTCAATGGGCAGCGCTCTGTCCATTTCCTTGTCGGCCGCCCACAACTCAACATGCACGTGCTGATGGCCCATTTGGGCTTACACCAATTACCCTCCTCGCCATGGTGTGTGGTGACTGCTGAAGCATTGTATGTGTATTTTTCGCAGTGGCAGGAGGTGGTAGTAGGTATGCACTAGCATTCATACCTGGTGAAAGGCAATGTTGAATGCCGCTTCTATGGCAGAGCACACCACGCCAACTTCATCTCGCGAATGCTGGGCGGAGGCAATCTGGCGATCATCTGCATGCTAATCTGTGGGATAAAGGGCTTCCTCGGAGTTAGGCTCGGCCAATTAGATGGCGGTGACGAAGGGCCCAGACATGGCGGACCACCCGGCCCGTGATCCGGCATGGCGGCATCAAGTCTGGCTCGGCGGCATGATGAACATGTGAGATGTGCAAGGGACGTGCTTGCAAGCAATATGCAGGCAGATGAATGCATACTGTTCTTTGCCATTCTGGCCCCTCCTACATTCTCCCCTGCATCTGCAAGCCAACCGCCTGAGCCCGCCATACACCTGTGCGTTCCTTCAACCGATGCATGCTGTAATCGTCCCATTGATTGGCAGATAGTATCAAGATGAGCAATCTGTCACCCATGCCACTGACCGATCAGATAGCAGGAGTCTTGGAGCTCATGTTCCGCCGAAAGCTCCATCTGGCCACTCATGCAGCCCATTCTGCGCCATCTATAGAAGTGCCTCCGTCCATGCCATCCGCCCTCCTATTGGAGTGCAATGGCATTGCAGATGCTCTTGTGAAGGCCATCCGTAATCCTGGTAGTCATTAGTCTTGCCGCAGGTCTGATCACACTGATCACGCCATTGTAATAGTAAGGCTGCAGTGGGACATTGATAGATATTGTGACAGCCTTTCGATTCAGCCCACGGGGCAGAATGAAGTCCTCGAGGCAGAACTGGAACGGAAGTGGCCTCCTCCATTTGGTGAGAGCGAAATACGCATAGACTAGCCCGCCACCCTCGTGGACATGCACGGACGCATCTTGGCTTGGATACTTCCAAGAGTGTTGATACCAGACCGCCAGGTGAGTGGCTTGCCCAGCCTTGCGCTGTGATCTGACAAATTTGTCAGATGAAGATGCTCCAAGCGACCAGGGCCCTACACCCAGCAATAGCAGCCAGTAAGCCTTCCAGCACCACCGCCAGTTGGCGACACAACCCGTTGTACTTCTTGCCTTCTGAGGAGTGTGCCCAATTCCCAGCGGGCTCCTTGTGTCTCTCGCCAGGTTGGTTCCAACAACACGCCATTTGCCTTGCATCTGGACAGCCTTTGCAGCATATGGAGTCTGGGAGGCTGGAGACCTCCGCCAGCCTGAAGCTTGAGGGCGGAAGAAGTTGGCTGCGTGATATTCATGACTCCTCCGCATTGCTGGGCGCCATCCTGGCCGTCGTTCACCCAACACTATATGCCGCAGGACGCCAGTGCTTAGGTTTGATCCAGCAAGACCCAGAATTGCGAGAGATGGCGCTGAACTGGTCGTCGCCATTCAATGCGCTCCAGGTGATCGCCAACCGGGAAACTCCTTTCCACCGAGATAGCAAGACAAGATACACCTTCTACGACCTGTTGGCGACGTTGGGCAACTACACTTGCGCGTGGTTGAAGTTCCCCGCCATGCGTGTCGCCATTGATTATAGTCCTGGAACTGTCATAGCCTTCTGTGGAAAGGCGATTCGTCATGGCGTCACTCGAGCAGATGGCGAAAGGCTCGTCTATGCATACTTCATGCGAGAGGGTGTCCAGAACAGGCTAGGCATTCCGGCGCCCCACTGGATGCAAGCTTCATATTACGCCTCACACATTGGCATGTGCACAGTTCATCACCGAGTCTGCATTTCTAACTCAGAACAGGTCCTAACTGGCTCGCTTATTAGAGGGACATCATGCCAAAGACTGATGGAGACGAGAACACTATGCAGGGGATGGAGACTGTCGATGGCAGCTTCATTGGCGGGACAAAGTTGGCGGAGGTGATGGCGAAATGTATGGAGTCACGAATTTCCGAATCCTAGCTGAAGGTTGGCGAGCGTGCGGTACGAGTGCGCATTTCACATCTCGACAGTGTTCAGCTCAAGGTGTAGTTATCACTGATGGCAGCGTATGGTTGGCGGACCTCGAAGTTGGCGGAGATGGTGGCGAAATGTATTCAGTCGAGAAGTTGTGAGTGCTAGTGGGGCAGATGGCGGCAGTGTTGGCGAGCGCGCGGTGCAAGTGCACGTGTCCCTTTTGAACATTATGCTACTCCGAGTCAAGGCAAAGTTAGCACTGAGGGCGACATACGATTGGCGGACCTCTCACCAACATGGCATCCTTATCTGCATAATGCTGATATGGTGCCTAAAGAGACCACGAGGTGATAAGGCCCAGGCATTGCAGCCATTCTTAACCACCTTGATGAGTAGTCTGATGGGCAGCAAGGCCGTGTGTGATTTGCACGTGTTGTGCGATAGGGACACAATGCTCATCGATTGGCTTGGAATACGACTCCCCACTGACCTGAACCATGAGCAGACGCAACAAAAGCAGGCTCGTTGTAGACCTGGATGACGAGGTTGAGTTTGTGACCAAGGTAGCTAAGCAGACCACTAGGGGAGTACACTATGTAGACGTACCTTTGCCCATGCCCACGGGTTCAAACGTGCCATCGCCTTCCAAAAGTCCATCGAAGGCTCCAGCTTCAGGCTCCTTGTTTAACTTGGATGATGGCGACGTCCTGGGCAACATAGGTGTGCCGATTCAGCTGGATCCGGCGGCTCGGAAGACAAAGGTGGGCACTCCCGCCATGACCATCTGACGGTCTGACCATGCGTGATAGACCCAGAATGACTTCATGAGGGACTGGATACCCCACCGTGATGACTATCTTCATGCCATTGTCGAGATGGAAGCCCCGCCTGAGCCCAGAAACTGTGCGGAATGCAAGGTTGGTGAGGGACGGTGGCGATGCCTGGACTGTATGGGCAGACTGCTCACCTGTACCGACTGCTGTCGTAATGGCCATCAGCGTGCTCCTTTCCATCGGATAGAGCATTGGCAGGGTCAGTATTTTGAGCTGGCATCACTGTATCGGGTTGGCGTCTGCATCCATTTGGGGCATGGCGGAGATCCCTGCCCTCTGGGCGCCTTCACAGCACATAACAACCCTGCGCCGGTGGTGGCCCCGGGGTCCGATTTCTGGAATGCCTCCAATGAAGACCTAAATGCACATGATGGCGAGGTCTCAGATGATGGCGAGGTCCCATTCAACTTTGCACCTCTGGCAGGCACCCTTGACGGTGAAGCAAGGCAAACCGACGATGCTCCCGATCCCACTTGGGAGGAAGATGTGCCACCGGTGCTCTCCCGGCCACCTCGCCGTGACAGTTACGGGAATCGGATCATAGTCATTGTCGACATCTCTGGCGTTCACCATATCGGCGTTGACTGGTGCCAGTGTGAGATGGCAGTGGAGCGTGACATGCAGCTTCTTCAAATGGGACTTTACCCTGGTACCGTCAAGGATCCCCATACCGCCTTCACATTCGCTGTCCTCGACGATTTCCTTCTGGAGAACAAAGAGTGCAAGACGGCGGCATTAAACTACTACAGCAAGCTCAAACGGGTCATGAGCAATGCCTTCCCTGGCACCGTTCCCGTAAGTGTTCACATGCATTCCCATGGCCCAACCGTTCATGCCAGTTCCTCGCCAGGACCGTTATCGTGAGCTGATGCGGGTGTCCCGCCAATGGCGCCAACTCAAATATCGCAAGTGGCACGGCTTCTCACACGATGCCCTCCGTCCTGTGGAGAAGGGTGGCCTCGCCATATTTTGTCCCGCCTGTCCCCAGCCTGGGCTCAACCTGCCTTTCGATTGGCAAGCAGATCCAGTGCAGTGGAAGTTCAAATGCGGCTTTGTCATGGATGGCAATTTCAGTGCAGAGCACATGAAGATGAAGCACCCCGAGGAGGACGTCGCCCTCAGTGACGGCCAGGCATTCATGGTCGGCCAAGAGGATTACAAGGCTCATCTGGCGGTGGCCATGGAGTCCCATCAGGTGCGTGTCTGGCTGCACGTTCTTCTTCCACCTTGACTCCTAAGCCCACCAGCGCTCCACTTGTCATGAGCACCGCACTGTCAATCAGGCCAATGTGGATCGCGCCAACCTCGACGCCACAGGAATCGGGGCCACTGCTTGCGCCAGACATGGTTTCTTCGTCCCTCATACTGTCGTCGATTTCCAGAAGGGAGAAAGGTTCGCATATGTCTCTTGTCATGATTCATTCTCACCGACGCACCCTCTGCAGACAAATGAATATGGATTACTCTCTCAGGAATGCGCTCCTGACCCTCACCGGTATCACCCTCGTCCTCGTCATGTACGACATCATGTGCCAGTATGGCGTCCATGTCTGCAAACATTTCCGCCACAGCGCCTATCTGAGGATGCCCTTCGAGCTCAAGATAGACCAAGGCATCGGCTTGTTTCATGTGCACGGACACCAAGATTGCTGCTTCCAATGGTTCTCGCCCAACTTTATAGTTGGCGCTGGTATGGTCGATGGCGAGGTCATCGAGACCCTGTGGGCACCCACAAATGAGGTCTCAGGCAGTACCAGGGGCATGACCTGAGCTCACCGCCAAGAAGTCCTTGACGATCACATGAATGACTCTAACTGGAAGAAGACGACTCGCATGGGTGAGCCTGGTTCCTCCTTCCCTATTTGCCACCTGCCTTATGCTGCCTACAGTGCCAACCTTGATGACAAAGTGGAAACACGTGCTCCTGGGCTTCCCAAGAAGCAAGGAGTCCTTTGAAGCTTTATCTGCATCCACAGATGAGGAGGTCCTTGAGGCATGGCAGAAGGAGTACGACGACGCTATGGAGGCTCGCCAAAATGATCCGAAGATTATGGACACCTTCAATGTCCAGCTCAGGAAGGGTAAGTATCCTTCCATCGTCGTGTGGCATGTAGTTGACGTGAATGCAAGCCCCGGGTAAAGACCTCACCCAACTCAGACTGGCGGGCGAGGAGTCCGCCAAGGGCTTGGAGAAGGGCACCGCCGGATGGTTGTCGACTGGCCTCAAAATTCAAGAAGCACAGTGAGTTTGCCTCGTCTTTACAAAAATACAGCTCTGACAGCCTTCAGGCTTAAGCTTGCGAATGATATCCGCAAGGCGGGTCAAAATCCGAGCGTGGCGGAGGACCTCAAGACTCTTGAGCGCCGTCAGCGCCTCGAAGTCAGCATTCTCACATTCCAACGTTGCTCTGAGAAGTTCATGGGAAGGTTGGAGGATGTTCCCACCATGGAAGATCGTGACGATGGTGCGCTCTGGGATTCCTTGGATGAGAATCCTTTTCAAATACACCCGGAGGACGCTGAGTATGGCGAGGATGCGATTCCACCCGAGCAAGCTTCCTTGAATTTACCTTCGCAGATCGGATTCGTGGCCGCCGTCACCAACAGGCTCCAGACCCTGGCGGCCCAAGAGTTGGAGTTGCGCAAAGGCCTGATGAATGACATCCTCCACGAGCTTCGCATGGCGCTTGGACTGAAGTCTTACCTCTACCGCAAGAGGGTTCGTCCAGCCAACAGCGTCGGAACCATGACCCGTGCACAGGCAGAGGTTCATGCTGCCGATCAGACCGTCTTGGCCTGCGCCAGGCTCTATTCCGCCAACCGACGCGCCATTATGCACTTGGGCGCCACCGATGAAGACTTGGCCCTCTATCGCCCTTTGGATAAGAAGGACCTGCACGTGAAGACTGCCGTCATCGAGGCTAGCACCTCCGGGCTCAGGAACGTCAACCTGGCTTGGTTCTGGACCATGGATGTCGCTGGAGATCGAGGTTCATCAGAATGGATGGACGAGTGTTCGTAATTGTCCGATCAATCTCTAGGCCTCCTGCTAATTTACCCTCCAGTCTATAGAGTGAATTGGCTGCGTGCCAGAGCTCGATATGAGAGATGGAGGGAGGAGCGTGTCTTGGTCCACTCGGAAATGGCCTGGACCATAGCCACCTTCAAGCGGAATGCGGAACGATGGGCTCACTGGCTCGAGGTGACGGATCCTTCCTGGTGGGGTCATGTTTGCTATGCCGCCAGGCAAGTGAGTATGTGGCGGACCTTCGCCAGCCACGCCACTGACGCCTTCAGCCACATCCTCGCCCTGGACATTGAGGACGAAAGGGCGGGCGATGAAAATGTGCTTTGAGTCAGGGTTCACTGGGGTGTACGCATATTCATGTTTGCTATATCGATGTAGTGATCGTCATATATGTAATTCCTACTCACCAATATCACATTTGGTGAAGTGACCTCCATCCTCGCCTGAGGGCTTCATCTCGGCATGTGCTCTCCAATCGCATGACATCAGACATCAGATAAGGTCGATCAGATATCAACCTCGGCTCATCCACTCACCGTCATGTCTGCCCAGTCTTCAACATCAGATGCGCGCCCCTGCCTGTTCTCCAGAGGGAGGTTGCAGTTGGAAGTCTACACTTGGAGGATCCAAGAAGCTGTTCTGGCACTGGAGCCTGACCCAGATCACTTCACCAAGGTCCGTTGGGAGGAAGGCTTGCGCCGGGAGATGGTACGCCTTTCTTGCTGATATCGCCTGACCCTGCTGAGTCCTGTGCAGTTCGCCGTCAGGGGTATCTGTGGCGACCTCGCGTTGGCGGGTCATGCTGACCATATTGACCATGGCGGAGTTATCGCCAGTGTCCTCACCGTCTGCACTTTCAATCGTGAAGTTCTGCGCCCCATCAGCATTGACGTCAAGGCGATTCCACACCCCACCACCCTCGTTCCTCGTCCTAAGAACCTACTCGAGGATTCACCCGACTACTGGTGGAAATGGGATCATCAGGTTGGGCCGGCGGGGAGCCCTATAGAGGCCTGGTGGTACAAACTTGGTGATCCCTGGGTGAGTGGTACGTTCCAGCACCTTACAGTCTTGCTGAACCTCGAGAACGTAGGAGAAGGTGTACACCGTCTCCGAGTCTACACTGGTGCAGCTTGAACAGCTGCATGTTCGCATCACGAACCTCACTAGTTGGTTGCACGAGAGGACAGATCAGAACCTGGATGTGGTGCTGGAAGAGCTGCAGGAGGCGACGCGGCAGCTGCGTGAGTTAGGAATGTAATCGCCCAATGCCAGGCGTCCGTTCATGCTGTAGTGTGTCGAATATAAGGTTGTCATGTCTTTTTACCTGGGCAATGTACCTGGTGTGGTAAGGCGAAACATAGTAGCCACATACTCTCCTCAGGAGGGCACATCCCCAATGGTATCTGATGCATGGCTCGAAAGCCAATGCCACATGGGAGAGTTTGGCGAAGTCATTCTGGACTGCATGTTCAGATGGCGAGTGATATCCACCACAGTTCGCCAACCCTACTCACGGTGGAAAGGACCGCCATTCGTCTCCACATACTCTACCCAGAAGGGCACATCCCAAATTGTATCTGATGCATGTCTCGAAACGCCGATGCCAATTGGAAGAGTTTGGCGAAGTCATTCTGAACTCCATGTTCAGATGGCGAAGGATATTCGCCACAGTTCGCCAACCCTTCCCACAGTGGGAGAGAGTGTGATACTGCAAGGAGAGCTGATAGTGAGCTAACCAGAATTGGAGGGAATGATCGGTGGATTACGTGAAAATTATTGGCCGGCGGTAGCTCCATCATTGCCCTGTTAGGTGGTGGATCAATCACTGAAAAATATGCCCATGGCAGTTGACTGATCGCTGAGAACTACACCTATGGCGGTGGGCCGATAGGTCTGAGCAAGAGGTGCCGCATGAGCAATGACTCGGCGTCGGAGCCCCCTTCTTCTGTGGTGTCCTTCGGCTCGTATGCTGATTTGCACACGTCCGCATCCTCGTCTACTTCGTGCTCTTCGGTTGACTTCGGGTACAATCCGTTCACTTCGTATGGTCTACTTCTTGGCTCGGGCAACCAGGTGTGGCATCCACCCATGCTTCCCCCTGACCAATCTCCACGTTTCATACATCCGCCCATGCTTCCCCCCGACCAATCTCCATGTTTCATACATCCACCTATGCTACTCCCTGATGAATCATCCGGTATGTTCCTTCAACCACCCATGCTTCACCAAGACGACACGGACACAATACGAGCCCAGTTGACAACCTAGGGCAAGGCAAATAACTCAGCTATGCCCGGGCTAGTCAGATATTTCAGGCGACCCATGCTTATGGGCTCAGAAATATACCTATGGCGGTGGGCCGATGGCTGTATAATAGCCCCGTGGTGGTGGGCCAATCGCTCAGAACACTACCTATGGCGGTGGGCCCATCGCTCAGAACACTACCTATGGAGGTCGGCCTATCGCTCAGAACACTACCTATGGCGGTGGGCCGATGGCTGTATAATAGCACCGTGGTGGTGGGCCAATCGCTCAGAACACTACCTATGGCGGTGGGCCCATCGCTCAGAACACTACCTATGGCGGTGGGCCCATCGCTCAGAACACTACCTATGGTGGTGGGCCGATCGCTCAGAACACTACCTATGGTGGTGGGCCCATCGCTCAGAACACTACCTATGGTGGTGGGCCGATCGCTCAGAACACTACCTATGGCGGTGGGCCCATCGCTCAGAACACTACCTATGGCGGTGGGCCAATGGCTGTGTAATAGCCCCGTGGCGGTGGGCCGATTGCTCAGAACACTACCTATGGTGGTGGGCCGATGGCTGTATAATAGCCCCGTGGCAGTGGGCCGATCGCTCAAAAATACACCTATGGCGGTGGGCCCATCGCTCAGAACTATCACCACGGCGGTGGGCCCATGCCTGTATAATAGTTGCATCATGGTGGTGGGCCGATCGCTCAGAAATACTCCTATGGCGGTGGGCCCATCGCTCCAGCATTCCCTTCATCGCCATGAGCCGATCGCTGACAGCTCCTTACACAGACCGATGGGCCGACGTCCGCTGGCTGTCCAGTTTATGACAATGTCAGGGTAAATGGGAGTCCAGTTCACAAACATGACTGAATGGGCTGGAGCGGACAGCTCTCTTGACCAAACAAGGCGACAGATACCTTGCACTTGATAACTTTGACTTTGTCCATTAACATTAGGACACCTGTGACGACAGAGATGGAGATACCGCGATTGACACTCCATTCTCTTGACATCCCACATTGGAACAACGATGATGACCCTTGTCTGGTCATTCCTAGGTGAGACCAGATTTTCGAAAGACAATTGATTGGCACCTTGTCTAAAATGAACTCTCAAGAGTTTACCCTTCATTGGGTGACTCTCAGGGGTCGAATCCCCTCATGCGAGGAAAGCTACGACATGTGTAATAATCAAAGACATGTACGAGCTGCATGTGACTGCGAATCGGAAAGGTTTGGCCGCCATAGAATTAGTACCAATTCTATGGACCGTGATGGGCCAAGGATGGTGCGCAGCCTTTGACGAAGGACTTAAGTCGCACACTTAATGATCATGGCTGATAACACCGAGTGCGGCGAGATACCCACGGTGCAGATTGATCCCGGGAACGGCAACCCGTATAAACCGTAGACTCTTAATTGAGTCCGATCTGAAGAACACTCGATGATTGTTGATCCCGTCAACGGCAACCCATATAAACCGTAGACTCTTAATTGGGTCTGATCTGAAGAACACTTGATGATTGTTGATCCCGGGAATGGCAACCCGTATAAACTGTAGACTCTTATCGAGTCCGATCTGATGACCATTTGATGATTGTGATCTCTGAATGGGAGCTCGGACTGAGCAAGTGGATACTCGCTCTCCACTATAAATAAACGATAGATCTTGGCTGAGAACACCCTGCATGGCGAGTTACCTGGGGCACTTCAGGGTACCCTTCTGACCTAGCTCTTAGCTTCAACATAATCTATATTGTGTAGTGGCTAAGAGCCTCTCAGGTGTCAGACAGACCATAGTACCAATACATGTCCCAGGGCATTATATGGGATTACCCAGGGTAAAGGCAGGGCAAAGGCTGGTCCAATGGCACAATTATCATATGGGATGTCCTATAGTACTAGGGCATTGATATTTATATCCCAGTATTACTGGTTGTCCCATGGTGCCAGGGGTACATAGAGATGTCCTACTATTAGTAAAAGATGTATTTTCAGGCTATTGTATGATAGTTTTTTTATACTTTGTTGGGTGCAGAAAGATTGACAACTCAATGCCATTATGAGTTGATGACCATTGAATTGATTGAAGGTAACACGATTTGACACTTCAATCATTCCCTGTCGATCACAGCTCTCGATGATAAAGAAACTGAACCTGGATGAACCTTGGATGACATAGCAAAAGGTTCTGACAGAAGACGGATCCTGGCTCTCCATATAAACCAATGATCCATACTGAACCTAGGCCGAAGGTTCGACGAGGCGACGATTATCCTGATGATTGAACTTAAAAAAAAAGATCACATCACTAAAGAACGACTTGGAGTTAACAGTACACGACACTCCAATCCCCGATAATGACACCTGATATTAGGAAACCCCTAATGGTCCTTTGTTGACCACCACGATAACGACTCGAGCATGATCAGACAGACATGACTCATTTGATGATGTCTGGAAGTCCCAGACGGTCCTTTGTTGACCACCACAATGATGACACCCGATGCTAGATGCCTAAACAGGTCTAGCGACCCTTGACGATCAGACTGATCTCAATGGGTAAACCTACTGTGAACGACAGCCTTTGATATGGCACTTTTGATGACATGCGCGGGGTAGTTCCCCATGGATAGAAAGGATACTGGGTCACGGCCGATCCTTGGATTTGATGTAGACTGTTGTCTCATCATCTGGAAGAATGAACTTAACAAACAGACGAAATTCGATATATGACACAGCAATGAATAGGGCATCCATGGAATATGGATGGAGGTAGTTGATTCCATTCAACACCAACACACGACAAGACCCGACATGAAATATTTGATGAAGTATCACGCTAGGCCGGGGTAGTTCAAACCTAGGCCGGGTACTTTAATGATAAAGACATGAAATCGGACATGAAACGTGAATGGGAGCTATCGCTTACCATTGGATATTTGATCTGAACCTTTGCTGAGAACACCTAGTAGGGCGAGATACCCGGGGTGCAGAAAGGTTATCAGAAGGACAAACGACCTTGATGAAAGCCGAAAGGCAGGATTATGGCATTCACGGAATGTGAAGGGAGATAACCGACGAAGTGCAGTATCAACCCAAGATAAGGCCACAATTATCCCGATAATTAGAAACATCGAAGACATCCTTTAATCACGAAGATGACTGACCATGCTGGCATTGACTATAACCAGCAGGCCACGACATTTGTCCATAACGACTTAAAACTAGAAGACGATACTTGTCCGCAATGACTTAAAACTAGAAGATGATACTTGTCCGCAATGACTTCAAACTAGAAGACGATACTTGTCCGCAACGACTCGAAACTGGAAGACCCTTGCTGCCCACCTTCTTACAATTTGTTATCTGTTTTTATCGGTTTCAAATCCAGGGAATTTGATTTTGGTGAATGAGAGCTAATAGGGGATAGTAGGCGAGGATGCATATCCGAGCCAAAGGAATGAGCCCGAGTGCCTGGGTGATGAGGTATGAGTGGAATCGAGGAGTGACGAGCAAAGCCGAGGAACGACAAGAGTAATTGAGGATGAGGAACCCTCCCACAAGGGCAAATTTTTTCCCCCCCTCCCTTCCACCGCATTCTCTTTCCATACTGCGAATTTTTGAAGATGACACTACACCTTTCGCCCTCATGATTTTTAGGCCGGGGTAGTAGTAGGGAAGAATGGGCAACACGAGTTGACCATTCACTGTGCGAAAGCACAACGAAAAGAAACAAGACTAATGAAAGATGATGAACATAGCTGAATAGCTTATGAGAAGAAGACAAACAGAAGACTTGCATTTGGAGTGAGCAATGCTAGAGGGATGCGAGCGACAAGCAAAATGAAGTTTGCAAAGCAGGATTAATACCCAGGTCAATTTTTTCATTTTCCGCCTCTGATTTATCCAGAATGATGCGATGATATGACACGATGAACAACAATACATGGAATTTCTCCATTCCATTTCCCTACTGACTTTCTTGACGACTTCAATCCAGGGAATTGAAGACCTGAACGGGAGCTGCTGTTACAAAGCTCTTCTCTGTGGAACGCGCGGACGACTTCCGCCTCCACCCTGAACGATCATGTGACAATGATGTCACATTGCCTAGACTGGCCATGTGACCATGACATCATCATGATTATCGTGCTTATCTATCCAGAACCCTTATCTTAGAGCTGTACCGGATCTACAAGATCATCTGATGATATGCGCCTTGTGCTCAAGGCATGTTTACCTCATGTGCGAGATCCAGACCTGGACGCACTTCCTATCACACACACGACAAAGGCATGTGTGCCTCACCTCTGCCTTACCTTTACGATACAGATACTGAACCTCATGGGCATGGCCCCAGACCCTGATACATGTGCTAGATGCACGACGACCTCGCTGCTGCCTTGACGTTACAGCACGACCTTATCTCCATATGGACAGATTGTCTCTCACGCAGAGTCATGACTGACTCAGCATTCTCATGACTGTGGGACAGGTACACGAACCCTGTGCCCTTGTATTGATACCGATGGACCAATCGTAGTTCTAGTATTACAGGTAGACAGACGCCTGTACTTGTATATAAGACCGACAGGACAAGCTGGAGTCCCCATCTTGTCCTGATTACACATCAACCAGTTTTACCATCTACATCTGTGCGACGAATCGACTTTGTGTTACGAGGGAACCCAAGGGGCGACCCGAGTACACACCAGCCTTTAGGAGGCTCAAGTCGTCGATGCCAAACGGCCCCGTCGGGGACCGGTGCAAGACTCAAGCGATCATCCTCAAGCCAACGCGCACCAGATATGGTCTATGAATGGGTAGGTTCAGATTGGGGAACCTATCAAATACATGCCACTTATATACTCGTACATACGATGTAATACAATGGCCGTCATTGGTCCATCTTATCAGTACAAGGTCAGGCGCACACCATGAGGTATAGGTGTGTCGTCAATAAGCATCATGAGGTGGCCATGAGGCCGGGCCGACTACACGTACCGAGGTCTAGGGTCGGCTGTACCTAGACTAGGTCGAGAACCATGACGTCATATTCTAGATTAGTGACATCATAGCACGTGATATCCAAAGGTCTAGCCTCTAGGTGAGGCTTCAACATCGCAGCTGCGTACTGCGAGAATGTTCCAACTCGGGCCGGAGCCCATTCGCATGGCCCATGCCAGGGACCATTGTAACATAAGCTCCCGCTCAAGGCTCAGTCGCCTCGATTGAGTGTCAAAATCTAAAATCAAAATCCAGGGGAAAAGTCCGGAGTCGAAAAGATGGAGGAAAATGAAAAGAAATTCCACGTCTTCGTCATTCATCATCGAAGTGCAGCCTCGCATGATTCTTGAAATCAGAGGCGGAATCGGTGAAGAAAAAAAAGAAAAAGCCAGAGGCCAGAGCCATCACTGCACTCCGCCTCCCTTTTAGTCGCAACCTTCTTGCCGGTTGCTCCCTTCAGGTCGCTCGTCCTCGAGCTACTTCACGTATCTCTTCGGACTC